ACTATTTGGATTTACTGAAGACTTAAGATTTTTCAGTTTGAGAAAGGAATAAGTTATCTGAATGTTCTTGTGAGTGAAGCACATATGGGATAATTTGTTGAACATTCAAGATAAACATTCAAGATTCAGATCAGATCAGATCAGAAAGATTCAGATCAGATCAGAAAAATTCAGATCAGATCAGATCAGAACTTAATAAACTCATATCAGAAACATTCAGATCAGACGAAGAGAACAACTTCTAAGTCTCATACTTTAGAGTGTATTTTATCTGTTTCATTATTTTTGGTTTATCTAATATCTATCCTTTTTCAATTCGTCTTTTTCATTTTTAGCATATCAACCTTTTATCACAGTTGTCAGAATTCGAATTCGAAATTTACCCCTTGTGACACTGTCTATCTATCAGTTGAGCTACGCTCACTGGTAGCAGGCTGGGATGATAAATAAAAATAAAATAAAATAAAATAAAATAAAATAAAATAAAATAAAATAAAATAAAATAAAATAAAATAAAATAAAATAAAATAAAATAAAATAAAATAAAATAAAATAAAATAAAATAAAATAAAATAAAATAAAATAAAATAAAATAAAATAAAATAAAATAAAATAAAATAAAATAAAATAAAATAAAATAAAACAAAACAAAATAAAATAAAATAAAATAAAATAAAATAAAATAAAATAAAATAAAATAAAATAAAATAAAATAAAATAAAATAAAATAAAATATAATAAAATAAAATAAAATAAAATAAAATAAAATAAAATAAAATAAAATAAAATAAAATAAAATAAAATAAAATAAAATAAAATAAAAAAAAATAAAATAAAATAAAAGGCCCCACAGCGTTGGATAATCATTAATCAACGTACTTGATTTGAAAATATAGACCAAAACTCGAAAATTATAGGGTGAAATAGGGGTATAGATTGACATGGTGATGGGCGGGATCGGAAACAAGTACACACAAAAAGATGTATGCAAAAAGATTTGGTATGACTTGGAAAAATTTATTCCTAAACGACCTGTATGCAAAAAGATTTGGTATGTTCCCTGAAAAAAGATTGGTGTACACAAAAGTTGTACACTTGTCTGTCCCTCACAGACAAGTTGTCTGTCTAGAGACAAGTTGTCTGGCCTAGCACCACACATGTTCTCTACACTTGAAACTCCAATCCATCATGGAACCTTTAATTAGGACGTGGCCCTACTTTGGTTTTCTGTGGAACTATGAAAAAGATTTCTATTATTACTTACGTATATGGTTAATTTTGATGGATTTTTACATACAAAATCTTCCACCACAAATCCTGTACACTCCTCGGATTTCAAAATTAATACTCTTTTAAATTCGTCAAAAGTCATGATTGGGAAACCCCCTTAGGGTATGTTTAGGAGTTGGGTTTTGAGTGGGAAGAGATGTTGAGAAGAGTTTATGATCTTCCCTTTCATGCTTGGGAGAAAAAATATGGAGGAGGTGGTTTTGGAGGGCTTTTGTAACCCTCTTAAACCTTTCAACTACTCAATTTTCAAGTTCCCCCAAATTGGAGGATTTTGAAGGATAACTAATTAAATGACAAATCTAACTCAAATTTAAATAAATATAAATTCAATTATTTGAATTTGTCATATATGTGAAGTGATTTTAATTATAATTTATTCAAAACCTCTATCTTTTCAAACTTGTGTTACTCCCAAACAAGAAGGATTTCCAACTCGTTCCCTCCCCTTCAAACTCCCAAACATGCCCTTAGAAACTAGAAACATTCTTCAAAAGAGTGTTTCTTTTTTATTACAAATTTGTATAACATAAAGAGAAATAACTTTTACCAATTTATATACACGCAAAATGATTTTTTTAAAAAGTAGGGGTGAGCATATTGATTTGGTTTAATCGAATCATACCAAATCGAACTAAACCGAACCAAAACCGGAGCATATGCAATTTGGTTTCAGTTTGGTAGTATTTCTTTCAAACAGTATTAAACCAAACCGAAACCAATAAAAACTGAACAAAACCGAACCGAACTAAGGAATTTCAATAAAACCTTCATATATCATTAAAAATATTAATATAACAAATTCAAACCGCACCAAATCGAAAAATCGTATGGTTTTTGTTTGATACTAATTCTCTCAACCCGTTTCAAATTGAACCGAACCGAAACTGATATAAACTGAACCGCAAACTAATATGTCCACCCTTATTAAAAAGTATACACCTACTGATAATAAGATACAGAGTATAACAAAATATAGGTATTGAAAATAAACCTATATTGAAAAGTAATCATACAAATTTCCACCAATTAGACATTAGATTTTTCAAATTTTGGTGTCTTTGTTATACGAAGTAGTTTTTAGCAATTTGGTGCCTCAAGTTATTAATCGATTATTGCTTTCTCATAAAGTTGTTTATGCCATGTGACAATCATAAAAAAATAACTTCTAAATGCAGAAGTATTTTAGCATATATAACTGCTTGAGCCTGTTCGGTAACCAAGTTTTTAGGTTTTCAGACTTATCAGTAAACTTTTTCACCAAACACATATTTTTTGGTTACGCACGTTGAAATGTGTAATAATAAGAAAAAGTAACGTTGGTGTTACTTTTTGGGAGAAGGGCCAAAAATGACACTATGGTTTTTAATGAATCTCAGATAGGACATTATGGTTTAAAGTGGACCCAAAAAACACAAATTAAAACCTTTCCCTTTACTTTTAACCACCTTCTAAATCTACCGTTAAAGGCCCGTTTCCCCAATTCGCCCTACCAACACTGCTCATAAAATTCCAGCTCCATTCCCCCTAAGACCTGGTGATTCTCGCACCGGAAGCTACGCCCAAACCTTGCTTCTTCCTGGCCATGGCAGCAGACTGTCACAGAGCAAGTGTTCTGGACCAACTTAAAACCAGGGAAACCAGAGTTGTCTGGTCCCGTTAAAACCCAGACCGCCCTTAGAATCCCAAAAAGAGGACAATAACAGAAGAAGATGAGAAAACTCAGTTATCCATGAACAGTAAAAACCGCCCAGGCGCCAAAGTGGTATTCACGCTTCGTACTGTATATGGCCTCCAAAAGGTTCAGGGAGGAGCGACTAGGGATGATAAGCCCCAATCCAGTCTCAAAACCAACTAACATCAACAGGAACAAAACCAAAGATAGAAATCATCCTCGACATGAACAGTACCTCGCGATTTGTTCAGCTCACATATGTGGATCTTTGGCCGCGTAACAACCTTCAAGCTTCAAATCGAGGATCGGAAGTAGGTAGGCTGGATTGTACGGCCAAGAAATCCAACAAAAACAACCAGAATCGAACTTTTTACACCAAGAACTCCATTGTCGCTCCCTCGCCTGTACGGAAAACATAAAGAGAAGGAAGAGTTTTTCGGGGGGGGGGGGTTAATTTGTGTTGGGAAAGGTTTTAATTTGTGTTTTTTTGGTCCACTTTAAACACTAGTGTCCTATCCGAGATTCATTAAAAACCATAGTGTTATTTTTGGCCCTTCTCCCTTACTTTTTTGGCTATATTTGCTAAAGTTACTATGAAAGACCATTTTAGTTATTTTTCATATAATTTTTCTTTATTTTATTAATGACATATATTTTATTTATTTTTTTCACAAATCAGTAGAATCAGTCAATACAACCACTTCAGCTATAACTTAATAAATTTGATTAGAAACAGTCAATATAGCCGATTTTGGTATTATCAAACAAACTCCTTATGTGGAAATAAGAAATAAGAGCCCCACAAATTTTCTAAAGGTGTATTTTATTTTATAAAATATTAACCGTATATGTTAGTTCAATTGTTAAAAGCTATAGTATTTTTTAGAGTGGGTTGCCAATATTTTTTCAGTTTTAAGGAGGAGATGTGCTGCGATTTTATCATGTTACTATGGGGAATTTGGAGAGTTAGGAATGATAAATTATGGAAGCAAGTTACTACACCAGCTGGGAGTATCACAGCAGGCAAGCCCGGTCCTGACATTTTATGGGCCCGAGACAATACAAATAGGCTGGGCCTCAAGGATAGCGCGAGAATGTTTATAATGTCCTATGAAAATCTACTAGTATAATTTAAAATTATACAATATTACCGTCAAAGTACTAGTATAACACATCAAAAAATGAACAAAGCACATGGTTAGAATATATATATATATATATATATCGAGGGTATTGATAAGTGACATTTGATGATACAATGTACCTAACAGCCGAGTGAAACAAGTATTGCAACTATATATTAGGCACAATAAAATTTTTGAATTAAAGAAAGTTGTGAAAGTTATATCTTGTATAAGGAGTAACTTTATCATATTTTAAATCACATATTCACTAGACAAAAATAAATTCCAAGTTTCTAAATTATGGACACTAAAGTTCAATCTTTCACTAAAGAGAGAATTGAAGGAAATTTGTGAAATACACCAATGAATTCTGGATATACATAAGACATGTACACTAAGTCATTAAAAGATTGAATTTAATGTAATAATCCGTAATGATTCAAAAGAAATGGTAAAATATGTTCCCAACGAATTCTAATGTGGATGTTTCTAAATTATAGACTTGTATCGTGTAGATGGTAAATAACAAATTAGAAGTATCTAAAAATATAATTTTGATTTTATTTTTTATTTTTTATAGATTTAGGATGTATGTATAATTAAAATATTTATGTACACACATATATGTTTGAGAAATTCATGGGTCCTACTGGAGCAAAGGGCCCTGGGCGCATGCCCCTCCTGCCCATGCCCCAGGACCGGCCCTGACAGCAGGTGCTATGGGTTTTTTAAAAGGTTGGAGGGCTGCTCAAGTACCTTCCAGTGAGGTAATGCAGCAGCAGCAGCTGCATGTTTCGGAAGTGGGAAAAACCAAGGGAAGGGAGGACCAAAGTTAATATAGATGCGTCGGCAAAAAGCGGAATGGGGTGTGTTGGGTTGGGTGGTGAGGAATAATTTTGGTGATTTTATCGCAGGTGGAGCAATTAACAGACTGGGTGAATGTCATCCAAGAGAAGCGGAGGCGCTAGCCACGCGGGAGGCTTTAAGCTGGATCAAGGAAACAAGTTGGTCTAATATCGATGTAGAATCGGACGCGCTCCAACTAATTAAGGCCATCCAAGACGGGCAACAAGAGTCAGCATTTGGTGTTATTGTTGAAGACATTAAAGATTTATCAACTTCTATTTCTGGAATAGAGTTTACTTATGTAAAGCGGTCAGCGAACCGAGTAGTCCAAAACCCGGCTAAGGCCTGGTTCTATGTCTTGTTGCCGTAGTTGGACTGGAGATCCCCTGATTGTATTCACCGTGCTTTGAACCGTGATTGTATTTCTTATTGCCAATACTAATGATGATCAATCGAAATAAAACAAACCATGAATGTACGGTATAAAGTCGTGTACCAAAATTTACAATAAGTTGAATTGTGTTGGTCACAGAGTTAAAGGTTGAGTTCTACATGCAACACCGTGATTTGTTTTTCTTATGAACTCAAAAACTTATACGTAGTAAATGGTAGAATACTTTGTCTTTCACTTTTGTTACTACTTCCGTTCTCTTTTAAATGCAACGTTGGACTTTTTATACTATTCACATGTTCTACTTTGACTCTATTTTATTTATTAATGTATTATAAATTAAGTTTGAAAAAAAATATTGTTAAATTCCTCTCACTTTAAATTCTCATAATCTATTTTTTTTAATTTTTATACTAATACGGATGAAAGATATTAATGGTCAAACTTGTGCGTTGGCAAACGTGAAAAGTGGACCGTTGCTGTTAAATGTCCCACACCGGAAAAGTTTGGATGAACAAAATGCTATATTAACACATGAGCTGCTACTCCTATCAGGTTGACCTTTTAGGATGGAACCCCGGGTCTTAATATGGTATCAGAGCGGCAATTCGATCCTTGAATTTTGCACTCCGAATTTTATGAATTGAACAATTCCTAGCGACGTGACAAGCTCTACTGATGATGACCAGCGATTTAATCACGACTATGCACGAAGGAAAATAACTTACCCCTCATCTTCCTGCTCCTTGCCGAACTCGGATATGGGAAGAAAATTTGAGTGGCTTCTCGACTCTGGAGCATCATTTCATATGACGGGAAATGTGCAACTCATGAAGAATGCTGAAAAAGTAGCATCCATACCGGTGACTTTACCCAACGGTGAAATTACACATGCGACACACATGGGTGATGTGTGGTTAAGCCGCACAGTATTAATAAAAAAATGTTTTACTAGTCCCTGGGTTAAAGTGTAATTTAATCTCAATAGCATGTTTGATTGATAATCTGAAATGTGATATAATTTTTACTGATGACGTTTGTGTGATACAGGAACAACCTTCGAGGATGCCGATTGGAGTGGGTAAACGACATGGGGGGAGTTTATTATTTTCATAGTCTAGACGAAATTCAAGCTCATCAAGTGAAGATTGTGGATTCAAGTGATTTATGGCATTCACGTTTATGGCATTCAAGCTCATTCTATTTATTTTTCTACATTTTTAAAATAGAAAAAGCTATATACGTTTAGTCTAAATCATTAAGATACAAGCACCTAAAATGTTAAATTTGATGGAAAATTACTATTAGCCCCCCGAGGTTATGTCATAATTATTATTGCAACCTTGCATTTTCAAAATTCAATTGGTTACCCCCGAGTTTTGGTCATTCTCACTATATGCCCCCTCATGTTAATATTTGTTAAATTAAATTAAATATAACTCTTAAAATCAATTTAAGTTGTCTATAAATTAATTTCTAAAGTATAACATAATTTATTATCATAATTATAAGTCATTGTTGTTCATAGTTATTTTAGGTCGCTTATTGATGCTTGACCTATCTTTTAGATCATGAAATGATGAAACTCCTTTTTTCTTGGTATTTCTTCTTTGCTACACATGAAAGAAATGTCATTGAGAATAATTCAACCGGATGAATTTCAAATACTATTATATTCATGATGAAGAAGTACCTAAAATAACATGGATTTTGATTTATTTAAATATTTTATTTACTCTGTTACTAACTTGTGATGATTCTATCTTCACAATATTTTTACAGTAAAAAGTCTATTAGTTTTATAAGATTGAATGATATTTAATTTTATAAAATAGAAGTACCGAAATTCATGATATTGTATATCTTACGTAGTACTTGTGAGTATTTTTCCTTAACTACTCTCAATAATATTTAATCCACGATGGAGTAGCTAAGTAGAAAAATAATGATCAATAATAATGAATTATAAATATGATAATAATTTGTGTTTTAATTTGAAAATTAATTTTATATACAATTTTCATTGAATATAAGAGTTATATTAAATTTGATTTAACAAATATTAACGGGAGGGGCAAAGAATGAGAATGATCATAACTCAGGGGGTAATTAATTGAGTTTTGAAAATGCAAGGCTGTCTTCATAATTATGACATAACCTGAGGGGGCTATTAGTAATTAACCCTAAATTTGATTAATGAATATGAAAAGCAACCTGAAACATAAAGAAACAACAAAAAACAAAAATCTAAGCATTCTAAACAAAAAGAAACAAAAAGAAATCATAAGAAACAAAAATTAGCAATAAAGTGATAATACTAATAATTAAAATTTTAAGTACTTTAATAAAAAATAACATTAGAAAATTTGTATTTTGAATTTTTTTGCATGTGTAATTATTTTTCAATTTCATCTTTTTAATTTTTCATATTTTAAAGGTATGCTTTTATTGTAGTTTTACTCTCTTTTAAGTTACATTAATTTTTTGTTTTTTTACAAATTTATTTTATTTATTTTACTAGAAAAAAATGTGTGATGTGTTTTTTATTATATAAATTTTAATTTAAACTTTTTTATTTTCTTGTTTTCTAAAATTTTACATATTTATTTGAATTTTTATTGTTTAATCTAGTGTCTATTCTAAGACTTATACTTGTTTTGATTTTTTAAAACTATTTTCATGTTTTTTAATATTTTAATTTTTTTTTTTGAAAGTTTAAGTTTCTAATTTTTAAAGTTTAATTTACTTTTTTCATTTTTGAGAAATTTATATTTTTTAATTCTTTATACTTTTATATTTATAGATTTCGCATTATTCATCAAATTAAAAAATTTAGTTTTATAAATTATGGAGTACAAACAATTTATATGATAATGGTAATATATACAAATATGAACTATTTTTATAATTCATATGGTTTCTTTTATTTTATAAAATTTATTTTGAATTTTATGCATGGATTCAAATTTTATATATTGATTATGTTTTTAGATCTCTTTCCTTTCTTTATTTATCGATTTTTTGAAAAATTACTCTTTCATAAAATTTTCTTATTACTTCTGTTGTTTTAATAATTTCAAAATATTTATCAAATATAACCCTTCAACTCCAATATATCTTGAGCTGTTTTAAAGACTTCTGATCCTCAACAAGCTTACCTTATGTCGCTCGCTTCTCTCTAGGGCTTCGGCCGCTTGGAGTCTTTTTCCGTCTTCGATTTTAATCGAAGGACGACCGCTATTTTCGTCTTCGATTTTAATCGAAGGACGGCTGTTGTTGTTTGTGCTTCGTCCTCGAAGGGCGGATTTGTTGTCATGGCTCGAGGAGATCGGCGTTGTGGTCAAGGTTCGAGGATGATGCGTTGTTGTCGTCGTCGGAGAAGATCGGCGCCGCCTATCCATTTACTCTGGTTGCATGGGGCAGGGATGAGTTTGGTTATGCAGGGACGGAGGATTGATGCATGGTCTTTGGCAGCCAAAGGTCATGGAGGATCAATTAGCATGGTACCAGTGGTACGACCTCCTCCTGAACCACCACCATGGGATGCACGAGGTGCTAGAGTTCGTGAACGTTTTTCTTGTAGTTTTTATCTATTTGTTATTTGTTTTCTTGCGTCCATTTTTGTTGTTGGGTTTGACAGTTTGTTTGAGTTTTTTGCCTCTCTTTATGTCATTGGGTATGGTTGGATCTATGTGAATAGTTTTGGCTGTGTCAAGCCCACTACATGGTTAGCGATTCGTGTTGCTCTCTCAGGGGTGACCGTCTCAAAGTCTCACCATAGGGTTACAGTCGTAGTTGTTGGAGTTTCAGTTGGTGTCTGTTTTATTTCCCCTTTGCTTGATGTAATGATCCTGATGAATCTTTTGATATGAATAGAGACATGTTTTGATGATAAAAAAAATCAAAATATTTTGATCTTGTTTTGCGTTTTGACTAATTTTTAGGCTTTTAAATTTTTTTAAAATTTTTATTTTTCAGTTTTTTTAATACTTTTGATAGTTTATATAAATTAATTAAACTGTTTAAAATATCATTAGTTTAAGGATATAAATTATTTTTCAATTTTGCATTTTTTGTTATTTTTTTATTTTTTAGATTTTTAGTATTTTTCTTATAACTATCATCTTTTAAAACTTGAGTTTGATAAATGAGTTTTTGTTTGCCATAAATTTCCAGTTTTAAACGATTGCTGACAACATCTCAATTTTTTTTTTGAGGAAATACAACATCCCAATTTTAAAACTTAGTGATGTCTTAGTAGGTTTCTGGGAAATACATGTTCTGGGATGTAGTGTACTCCGTATTATGTACGTACTTAGAGCATCTCCAATGGGTAGTGGATTGGAGTAAAGTCTATCCTACGTGGCATAGGAGAGAGATAGAGATAGAATGATTATTTTAATTTAATATGGAGAAAGTGGTGTGTATGGAAAAATGAAAAGGAAGAGATAGATAGGAGTAAATTGTAGACAATGTCTATGACAATGTCCACAAATAGACATTACACGGGAATCGAGGATGAAAAGTGGATGAAAAGTGGGTTAGAAGTGATGTAAATAAATGAAAATGAAAATAAATATGGAGATATGTGTCCTACACATAAAATTTGTGAGATAAAAAATGAGACTCAATTGTAAGAGTGTGTAAGAGAATAGACATCCCCATTGGAGATGCTCTTAGGATGCAGGGTACTCCGTATGTCGAGCTTTGTCTATTATTGAAATGAAAAACTTACTAAAGTCTATTTTTGAAAAAGAAATTGAAGGGTGACAAAAGTGATATTATTTTCAATTTTTTGTCTATTTGTGAAAAGTTCCCTATTTTATTTACTCCGTATGTGTTTCCCTTGACAAATAACTTTGACAAATGATATTTTCAATGCGAAACTATTTTGAATTTGAAAATTATATCAAAGTGTTCCTTATTCAAAATATTTTCATAAAAGTATAAAATTTAGAAATTATATACAAATATAATCACTAAATCATTGCCTAAAGTTTGATATCATTAACCAAGAAAACTCAATTTGGCGAACATTTCCCCGATGAGGGTAGTATAAATTGCATTAACTTGATCTGTAAATAT